TGTTTTTAAGTGAGTAAGTTTGGTTACAAGTCCCAAGTCCACCCTTCAGGTTGGCAGTGAAGGAGCTCCCGGCCRAGGTGGAAGGAAGGTCCATGTTAGGGCTTCACCCATGGAGTTCACTACCTCCCTGCCTCTGCCCGCTGTCCCCGCCCCCAGGGGCTCAGCAGRGCCTGGAAATCCATGGGAATGGGTSGAACCTTCTTGCTGTTCTCTCTCCAATGAAGAATTGAACTGGCTCCACTGACCCCTTTGCCACATGCCATCGGTGTCCTTGGCTTCACCTTTTTTTCTGATGCTATTAAACCCCAGCAGCCTCTTCTTGGAGCCCCAGGGATATCACACAACGGGGGACCTCTGGTCTCCATGCCCCCCCCACCCCCGAGGCTTCATTTTGGAAGATCCGTCGCCAGGTCAGGCTCCACGTTCACCCGCTCACACTGCCACGGCCCCTCCCAGCTTCCCTCAGTCATTTCATTGAAAAGACCTTCATGAAGCACTCCCTCCGTCCTGGGCACAGTTCTAGCTTCTCAGGACAAGATGAGGATGGCCGACAAGGCCTCTCTCGGACCTGTTTTCTACTAGGGGGAGACACGCTGTGGTCTAGGCACGGCGACTCCCGAGTCCACAGCTAACCCCACGTGAGCCGCCGCTCATCCACCTGCCGTTCTCTGCCCACCTGGGAGGTGGCTTCTGCTGCCTCGGCTGTTCCGACCAGCCCCTGGCACGGTGTGGATGTGTGCATGTGCCCGCTGCCCTCCCCCACCACTGCATCACCACTCTGCCACCTCATTATGCCACCCCATGTCCTGGACAGGGACCAATGCTTTTCATCCATCACAAACATGACAGAGTTGAGAACATGAGGACCATGAAAATCAGCCGCACAAAGACAGGAGTTCAATCCCATTGGTTTTGATGGAAAGTTGGTCTTTTCATCAACAGAGAAATAAAAACCAAGAGCCACRAACATCATCTCATGGAGAGAGCTCACAGCCCTGTCAGACCCTGCCCCGCCCACCTCCTCGCCCTACCTTGACCTCAGTGGAGGCCTCTGCTGGACATGGACACAGGGCCAAGGAGTGGCACAGCTCTCGGTAGCATTCCATCCTATAGATGGGCACACCAATGCTCTAGAAGAAGAGGGACTTTCCCAATGACCCGTGGCCAGGGAATGGCCGTCCTGACCAAGCGGGGCTAGGATCCTCCACACCCCAGACTCACGCAGGCCCCACACAAGGTGGGGCTTAGGGCTGAGCCTGAGGCCAGGCAGCACCCTCACCTGCTCACTCCTGAAAGTCACCTTCTGCCTCTGCCTCCTCTAGATGGCCAGGGTCTGAAGTGAGTTAACACACACCTAGTGTCATGGGTCCAGTGTAGACACCTCACTGTTCTCTCCTCCACACTAACCACGACTTCTCCCTGGGCAGAGCGCACCTCAGCCAGAGTTGATCCACCACAAACCAGCCCTGGATCTGGCCCACAGTCCTCAGAGAGCTGTCGTTGGGYACGGTGCTGTCCACTCACCTCTGTTCAGCACTTGCTGGCCCTCTCTGGGTGGAACGAAGGCAGCCCCCTGGGGATGGTTTCTAAGGCTCAGGGGAAGGCAGGGCCCCATCCTTCCCCTGCCCGGGTCCTGGTTCCCCATCTGTGAGGCCAGCCCTCTGCTGGCTGCAGTCACGATCCCGGGCCAGAGGGGGCTTACCTGGGCCACTGCAGAAGGAGGCGATGACGGCCAGGATGCACACGATGCTCAGGTAAGGGATCCAGGCGGCATGGTCCTGCGGGAGGATGGYGATGCAGGCTGGGGACCAGGCCGGGTGTGACAGGAGGACCTGGCCCCCTCCCACTCAGTGCATCTGCATGACCACCACAGGCCGCTGTGTGCCCCGTTTTCAACCTCCATGACATGGAGACCATGAGGACGACTCAGAACATCTTCCCACCCGGAGGAGCAGTGAGATGGCAGGCAGAGTCCCCAGAGCCCTGGGCACAGGGAAGCGGTGACTGGATGAAGAGCTCGGCTGACTGAGGGTGCTGTCTGAGGCAGGCAGTGGGAGAAGGTCCACAGTCATCACACGCCAAACGGGCCTCTCGATTGTCCCTCTCATTACCTACAGCACCACACTGGGACCCTGCCATCCTGTGAGCTAGGAGCGGAGCGCATCCACACCGTGGAAGGTGTCTGGATGGGCTGCCACTCATCTGGCTGGCGAGTGGCCCTGGAGGCCAGGGTGGCCAGTAGGAGAGCTCTGGACCCTTGTGAAGCAAGACTTTGAGCATCTGATGCAGCAGCAGGAGGACCCTGCCCAGCACCTTGCCCATGTGGCTTTTCAGAACCTCTGAGGTCCAGGAGCCTGCCTGGCCACCCTCACTGAGGACAACCTCGGACCTGGCCATGGGAGGGAACCAACGTGCCAGAAGTCCCCTCTTCCTGCTGGTCAGCACATTCCCTATCGCCTCCCCTCTGAAGGTCCCTCAGACCCCACCATGCTACGATCGCCTCTTCTAGACACTCTGGGACATTAAGACATCTGGCCGAGGAGAAACATGGACCACTTCAACACTGAGGTTCATTCTAGAAAAATGCCAACAGATGCTGCTTGCTGCCAACAGCCTGGCTTAGATATCCAGTAAGTGCCCAGTTAATGTGAGCTGCCCTGAACGGCACAGGGGTCAGTGGGCTTGAACCCAAGACCCCGGATCCATGCCCAGCTCTGCTCATTTGTCTACGTGCATGCTGGGGGCTTCTCATACCCACAAAAGGAGAAAACAACGATCAACTCACAAGGATGAAGAGCATCGCCATCCCTCCTGTAAACCATGCGCTCAACCAGCATTTGTCTCATTTAACCCCTGCAGCACCCCAGGGGATAGGGACAAGGGTTGCATTTTAGAGATGGGGCCTCAAGAGGGGCAGATAGGGTGAGGGGCTGGCCGAGTCTCAGGGTGAGCAAGTGGGAAAGCCAGGATTCCACACAGGTGGTCCAGCTCCAGGGCCCTGCGGGTGACTCCAGGCTACAGGGTGGCCATGGAGAGGTACCTAATGGTGCCCTGTGCTGGAAGAGGCATCCTCGGGTCATCTGTGCAATCTCCTCTGTCCCACAGAGGGGTACACTGAGGCTCAGAGGGTCATAGCTTGCCCAAGATCACACAGCTCATCAGTGGCCGTGACAGGACCAGAGCCAGGCCTCTGGTGACCACCCGGCTGCCCTGGAGCTGACCCCTCGGGAGGGCTGTATCACAGGCAGCCTGGAGGCAGACGGGCTCTGCTGACCAAAGACCCCGGGGTGCTGAAGCCGGGAAGGAGCTCCAGGCTGACCTCCCCCGAGGCGGCAGCTGCACCACTCACCTGCAGCACCAGGGTGACCGTGAGCGCCCCGAAGAAGAGGGCCATCAGCCCGAAGCCTCCAATGAGGAGGGGTCTCCTCCCCAGGCGCTCGATGACCAAGCCCTAGTCCGGGGGGGGGGGGTGGAGAGAGAGAGAGAGAGAGAATGAATGAGAGCTCGCTCTTATTCACCTTCACAGCAGGAGGAGGGAAATGGCCCTGAGAGCCCGTGAGGGCCATGGTTCAAGGCTGGCTTTGACCCTGACACAGCCTGGCCTCGTCCCCCATGGCCACCGCCGGGGGAGCAAGGGTGTCATGACAAAGGAGGGAGAGAAGCTCCCAGTGCCCGCGCGGTCAGCAGTCTCTCTCCTGCTCTGCTGGAAGGAGGTGGTCACCGCAGCMCTCCCCCCCTGCAGAGCCAGCCTGCCACCCAGGCCCCTGCTCTGGCCCCCCATGGTGTACTTCCCTAGGGTCCGATCTCGAGGCTGGGCACAGGGCAGCAGGCCCTGGAGGAGGTGTGTCCTTTGCTCCTCCCCCAAAGTCTGGAGGGTCAGTGTCCCAGAGGCCTGGGGCCTCTATCTGCGACAGGAGAACCAAAACACCTCCAACAAGGGTGTCTGGGGGGGCGGGGGGTTAAACGAGACCGCACGCGGCACACACCTTAGGTACTCTGATTATGTCGGGGCCGTCCTCCCATCCCCATTTCACAAAAAGAGAAGAGAATCAGAGAGGTGAAGTCACTCAGCAGATGCCACACAGCTGGGAAGTGAGAGAGCCAGGAACTGAATCTCGGTTGTCTGTGCAGAAATTCATGGTTTGGCTCACTGAGCAATCTGGCCCGGCTTTTTGGAAGAGACAATAGCTGGCAGAGATGGAGGGAGCTTGTCAGGCAGAGGGGCAGAGGCCTAGCGGCTGGGAGCCCCTTCCAAGAGGGCCATCTGGCTTGGACAAGGAGAAGCCAAGCACGTCAGCCTTCCAGCGACGGTCAAAAGCCAGAGCACTGAGATGGACAGTTGCAAGCTGCCCCAAAGCCCTGGGGCCTCTCTCCCAGGGAGGCTCACTGCAGGGACATCAGCGCCTCTGACTTTCCCTCTTGCCCCACGCCCTGCTCTGCTTMGAGCCCAGACCGCCAGGCCACGTGGTACTTCTGGGGCCACAGGCCTCCCAGTCACTGAGGCAAGGCACTGAGGGGACAGGAGGGTGTCTCTGGGGCAGAAAGTCAGGGGGAGGAGGAAAGCAGGCCTGGCTGATGGACGCCTGCAGAGAAGGGACTTCCTCTCCGAAAGGCTTGGCTCAGGGTGGAGCTGACCCAGGCCTGCAGACTCAGCCCTCTGAAAATCTGGGCCAACAGGACAGCACAGGCAACGTCCAGAAGTACCTGGGTTCCAGTCCTAATCCTGCACTAGCCGTCCCTGCACCAAGGATGGCAACTGAGCTTATTTAAGCCTCAGTTTCCCCACCTGAAAGGTGGGAATGGAAGCACCCTCTTTGCAGGGGCTGAGATCAGAGGGAGAGAACGCACAGTGGCTGAAGCAGGCTCCTGGCCACAGGGGCTTCCAAGGCAGGGCAGAAGATGAACTCTTCCTGTCAATCAAGGGGTCTGGCCTCAGCTCCTGCCTCTAGCTGTTTGTAAGGCCTTGAAAAAGTTGGTCAACTCTTTTGTGAATTAATTTCTCCCCTTTTCTGATGCCAATGCATTTAGTCTAGATAAAAATAGTTGGTGGCTCTTTACTGAGCACCTATGTTTGAGGCAGGCATGCATCAATTAATTTAACACCTGCAGTAACTTTACAAAGTAGTTCCTATTGATCATCTCAGTATATGGATAAAAATCCTGGGGCGCAGAGACTTTGTCCCAGGTCACATAGCTAGTAAGTGGCAAAGTTGGGATCATTCACAAAGTCTTTTCTGATTCTTGAGACATTAAGATTTCCCAAACTAGATGTAGACAAAGCCACTACTTTGTAATATCCCACTGTCCCTGTCCCACCTGGACATCCAACTCCTGAACACGGAGACGAAGAGTGCTCAACCATCTGCTGGTGCGCCTCGCTCCCGCCCCCTGGCATCCTTCCACACCTGAAGGCCAGGGCCTTCTTCCTGCTCCTCAGAACCTGAGGAATGCCTGACAGTAGGTGTCAAGCCAACACCTGCCGATGGAGCGAGTGCCTATCCCTGCATTCTTCATTCTCAGGCCAGGGGACGTGTGGAGGCCAGAGAGGACAGAAGGGAGGAGAGGTAGGAGATGGATGCATTGGCAGGGCCACCTGCGACCCCCTGAAGGTGCTGGGGAGGGTGCTCCGGGCCGTCGCTTCTGGATCTTTTGCCAGCTCAGCCCTGATAGTCGCTTGGCCTTGTCCCTGTGTGTGCATCTCCATGCCACGAGGACACACATGTGGAATGTGAGCTGTTTTAGCCAGCCTTTCACTGCTGGGACTAAAGGACCCAACAGGACCACTGTAAAGGAGGAAAGGTGTGTCTAGGGGCTCAGGGTTTCCGAGATCTTGGTCCCCAGAAAGCCAGCTCCGCTCCTCGGGGCTGGAGGTGAGGCTGAGGCAGAGTGAGGCGGAGGGAAGCAGCTCACATGGTGGACAGGGAGCAGAGAGGTCTCCACTTGCCAGACGCAACATGGACCCAAAGCCACGCTGCCATTCCCACTCCTCCAGCCACAGCCCACCACTTCAGTGGCCACTCAGTTAATCCTACCAGGGGATTAATCTGCTGGCGGGGTTAAGGAGATAGCCCAGTCGTCTCTCTGAACCTTCTTGCACTGTCTCACCCGTGAGCTTTGGTGGATACCTCATCTAAACCGTAACAGGGGCTCACCTTGTCCAGTATGACCTCAGCTTAACCAGTGACATCCATAATGACCCTGCTTCCAAATCAGGTCACATTCTGAGGTTTGGGGACTTTAACATGTGAATTTATGGAGATAATTCAACCATAACTGGTATCATGAAGTATCTGCTTGATCACATTTACTGAGCATCTGTTGTGGGCACAGATCTGGGAATTACTGCCCCGTTCTCACAATCACACCTAGAACTGTTATCACCTCCACGTTCCCAAGGAGGGAAAATGGGAAACAGAGAGGCCACGCATCTGGCCCAAGGCTACCAACTGGGAAGTCAGAACCACAGAGCCCAGACGCTCCACCACTTAGCTCTTCTCTCCTGGCCCACGTGCAAGATCCCAAGTCCTGAGCCTCAGGCGTGAACTCTGAAGGCTTTGACTTTGAAATGGGATTTGCTGGGAGTGGGTAGACTGCGGGCAGCGAGTCCTAGTAAGGATTTACTGCCTTCAGTCCTAGGGCACAGCCCCCCACCTCCATGACAAACGCCTCCTGCCATGAATAAGGACTCGCTGTGAGCTCTACCCCCACCCCCATGTAGCTGCAGACCTCTGCCCTGCTTGGCCTGGAGGACACTGGCTGGACGTCCACTCTCAGGAGAGTAACGCGGCCCAGAAGACTCAACCTGGAGCAGCAGCCATCTCACAGGGTGGCAGTCAGTGCATCTGCCAAGCTGCCAAGTGACAGCCTCAGTCAGAACGAACCGCGGATGGGGTGCAAGTGTTCCCTCCTCCATGTCCCCAGCTCAGAGCCAGCGCACTGAGCTGTCAGAATCTCAGTGAGAATGAAAACATTGAGAGGCCCTTTTTGATAGGTGGTTAACCTGAAAGGTCAGATGATTTGGGAACAAGGTCAGCAGCACTTTGAAATAGCAAGGGATCCGCTGGGTGCTGACCATCAGGGAGGAGGGAGTGGCCTTCACACCCTTGCAGTCTAGTTTCCATGGCAACCAGAAGGCAGCTCCGATTGTTGCGGTAACCAATGACCACCAACTTGTTAGCCTAGAACAACCGGCGTGTAGCATCCCCCAGGGAAAAGCATCACCGAGTGAGCAGGCTGGTCCCTCCTGGAGATCTGTCTCCACCCCCTCCCAGCTTCGAGAGGTCCCCAAGTTCCTCGGCTCCTGAGGGCATCTTCCAAGGCCGCGATGGCCTCCCTCCTGCCTCAGCTTCCAGGGTCCTGCCTCCTTCTCTTCTTGACCCTCCTGTTCTCTCTTAAAAGAACCCGTCATAACTCCGAGGTCACCCAGACATCCAGGATGACCTCCCTATCTGGAGATCCCTAACTGGACCACATTGGCAAGTCCCTTTTTGCCCAGCCAGGGGACATAGTCGCAGCTTCCTGGAGTTCGGATGTGAACCTCTTTGGGAGCCAAAATTGTGCCCACTACAGATGGCCACAGTCATGCACATTTTGCAAATGAGCAAGTAGAGTCAGAGATGCCAGGCAGTTTCCCAAGATYGCTCAGCTGGTAAGTGAGGATCGGGATTTCGCTCAGAGTTGCTCAGCAGGAGTGTCCATCCCAAATCCCAGCACTGTGCTGCATGGGGTCTCGTGGGGGTCCAGGGCTGGGGAAGCAGTCTCCATGGACTGCTCTGTACCTGCCCTCGCCTCTCCAGGTCCTCTAGAAGCTAAGTGGGCAGCTGCCCAGCGCACTCCCCTTCTCCYGAGTCCTGCGGCTCCCTCAGCTCCAGGCTTCCTGGTCCCCTCCTCCAGGGAGCCCTCCTGAAGCTCCGAGCAGGAGAGCTGACTCAGGGTGGCATGCAGTCATTGTCTGTTCTGGGTCTTTCTTTCTAGATCACCACAACTTGAGGGTGACCCCTAGTCCGTAGAAACTCCTAGGGTGACTGTGAAGTGGACAGGTGCCCGGTTACATGGCTCCACCCCCAGAGAGAGGAAGTTGTTGCTCCCCCCTCAGGGTCCACAGAGCCTGTGTCCTTAGAGGCACGACCTCGTTCCACCCTGGGTCATGCCTGCCTCCATTGGATGGTGAGCTCCTACAGGAAGGTGCCACGGCAGTGACCCTCTGTGACCCCAGCACAGGTCAGCAGCTGGACTCAAGCTGGCCGACGGGCACCATCACGAACCTTCCCGGCTCCAGATGGCTGAGATCCACCGTGGAGCCACTTGGAGGAGGCACAGGGGCTGGAAGGAGCCCCCTCCAGAGGCCGCRTCTGAGTCCTGAGCTTACACAGTCCCTCCTCCTCTCCCGGAGGGTGGAGCTATTGACCTCCCTTCTGGCACATCCAAGTAATCCTCGCTCAATATCAGCTGTTAACAAGGATGAGGACGATCTGCTGGCCAGAGGGAGGCTGGAAGGAGCGGCTTCTGGAGTCAGGAGTATTGGATTAGAATGACTCCATAAGAACAAGGAGCAAGATAGAGTGAAATCAGTCAGAAATAGGACCGGGGAGCTTTGCCTGTTTGCACCAGCATCAACACCCTCAGCTCCATCTGGGGAGCAGCCCCCTGGAGCGGGTATGGCTCTCTGGTTTAGTCCTTGCTCCTTCCCCAGGTGCTGACCCACCCAGTGAGAGCCCAGGGACTTGAGCAGGCATCAAGAGGGAAACGGGCTCAGAGAGTTTGTGCACATGGTTCAACATCACACAGCCAAGGAGTTGCAGAGCTGGGACTTCAATCCAGTCTGGCCAGATTCCAAAGCCTGGACAATTTCCTCCTAGACTCCGGATTCTCCCAGGACCTCCCCCTCCCCCATCCCCGCAAATGTCACTTAGCATACACTGGTGGAGAAAGAGTGCGGTTCCAAGTCTCCGCTCTGAGCACCGTTATCCACCTGGCCCTCCCCGGCACGGGGTTTGCCCTTCCTCCTCTGCTTCCTAAACTCCTACCTGTTTGGGGTGACCAGGTGACAGATGATGGTTGTGGAACTTTTTGAAAGTCAGGGCAAGAGATCCGAGACACACAGGATCCTTCTGCCCTGAACTCCCAGGGAGGACAGGGCCTCAGGCACAGGGGTCGGACCCTGTCACTGGGAGTGGGAGGGGTTAGCAGGAGGGGACAGTACAGAAGGGCACCTTCCCAGCTGGTCAGACATCCCGAGGGCCACCTACAGGGGGGCGTGCCCCTGGGAAGGCCACCCTGGCTGCCTGGGTCTGGTGTCACCCCACCCGGGATCCCCCTCAGGACTTACAGAGAAGATGGAGGCCAAGGTCTCGACCCCGCCCGTGCTCAGGGTGACGTAGGGCGTCTTTTCTTGAGGGATCCCAGCTTTCCCAAAGATGCTGTTAGTGTAGAACCAAATCTGTAACGTGGGAAAGAAAGAGGAAGGTCAGTGCGACCTTGCTCTAACTCCTACCTCCAATCCAGCACCGCTGGAGCTGTGCGAGGCGGCCCTCGGTTTCCACCCTTCGCCCAGGTCTTCCCTACGGAACCCCACCTCCTGGGAATGGCGTTGACGCAGGAGCTGGCCAGAAGCCCGGTGTCCACGCAGAGGCCAGGCTGCTCGGGAGGACAGCAGCCTAAGGTGAGGGATTCTAAGTGACGGGTCTAACTTTGGGATTTGAAAGCTGTTGTGAGTCACAGAGGAAACAGCTCAGTGTTGTTAGACTCAACTTCACTGATTGTTAAAGCACGGGACGGCCATTCAGCTTCAGCCGGAGCCACTGAGCGAGTCACGTTGGTTTAGGTCGAGGTTCTCAGTGGGGCCTGCTTTGCCCCCAGGGGGTGCTCGGCATTTCTGGAGACACTCTGGTTGTCACAGGTGGTGGGGTGGCACTGGCACCCAGGGGTTAGAGGCCCAGGACACTGCTGGGCATCCTGCAGCCCCTGTGACAGGGAAGTTTCCGGCCCCCAAGGTCCTGCGGCTCAGAAGCGCTGCCTGTTCTAGGGGCTGAGGACGCAGAGACGCCAGCAGACGCCCCGGACGCAGGCCTGGAGAGGAGTTTGCCAGGGCAGGTGCTACTCCTGGGACCCCGGGCAGGCCCCTGACCTCGGGAAGCTGCAGCTTCTTCATCCAGAGAACGGGGATGGTGCCACCTGCCCTGCAGGACGGCTTGGGGCTGGAGCAAGGTGACAAATAGTAGGCACCTGGCCGAGTCTACTAAGGTCCCCAAGGACAGGCCGTGTCCCCAGTGAATTCTGGTAAAACAGAGGGTTCAAGCCAGTTCACAGGGCACAAGTGGTGTCGATCTGGTTGCTCTCTTCCTTGGCCTCGGGTTTGGACTGGAGGGCAGCAGGTGTGGGCAGACCCTGGACCCAGATGGGCACGGTCCGGCTGAGAGGCTGGCACTTGCTGCTCCAGCCACAAATGCAAGAAGCTGGACTTTCTTCGTGGCTGCCTGGGGTGGGGGCTGGAGACAGCCTGAGTGACATAGGGGGGATCCTCTCAGGGGCTCTTGGTGACCCTCCCTGCTAGGGTTTAAGCACCCAGACCTTGGGGCCAGACAGCTTCAGTCCTCCTCATACTGTTCTTAGCTGTGTGACTTTGGAAAGCATCTTGATGTCTCTGTGCCTAACAGTGGGGGTTAACTCACAGGGCTGGCATGGGACGGCTCCTGGCTAATACATGTGCACGTGCAGCTGAGGGCACCAAGCCAGGGTGGGGAGGCGCTTGGCAGGGGTTTCTCAGGGCAGGTTCATGGCCACASGGGGGCGGGAAGCCAGGCCTCTGCCCCTGGCCTGTAGAGAGCTGAGCTGACCTAGAGGTTGGAGGGCTGAGGAGCAGGGAGCAGGGCTGAAGCTGCCACTGCCCTGGAGAGAGCAGGGGTGGCCGCAGGCAGCTGGGTCTGGAACCCGGAGAGAGCCGCAGCTCAGGCCCAGGGGCTCCCCGAGAGCCTGGAGGTTTTCCAGGCCAGAGTCGCAGGCGGGAGGCAGCCCAGCCAAGACGCTCYTCTGAGGAAGTCCCCTCAGCCTCTCCTGTCCCCCCATGGTGACTGCCTAAGTGTCCCTTTCTTTGAGAAGCAGGACTCCAGGATGGTAGTGACATGGGCGGGGAGCTGGCTCTAGCCTGGGACTGGGCACCGTGCCTGCAGCATCCCCTTCCACCTCACTGTCATCCATCCCACAGAGGAGGACACCGAGGGTCAGAGACGTCCTGTGGTTGCCCGATGCTGCGGAGTTCGTGAGGCTGGCAGAGCTGGGTCTGAACCTGGGCATCCAGAGCYGAGCCCTGAGCCACCCGCCTCCCTCCTCGCTTGCTGTTCCCGTGCACAACACCTGGCGGGGGCCCAGCACTCACGGCGTTGAGGCCACAGAGCTGGTAGCAGGCCATGGTGACAACCACGGTGATGACCTGCCAGCGGAGGAAGGGGGCCCTCAGCAGCTCCAGGACAGACAGCAGGTGGACGTTCCTCTGCACGTGGCTCTCAGCCAGGGCCTCCTGCATCTCTTGGGAGACGTCCGCTTTGCCCAGAAACGTCTGGAAGGCTGTGAACAGGGACAGGCACAGGCTGAGGGCGGGGCCAGGATGTCCTATGGCCGATGCAGCCCGAGGTGCCGGTCCCACCGCTTGCACCCCTTGTCCAGGGTCTCTGAAGCCCGGGGGCCCAAGCGCTCATTTAGAAATGGGAAATCAGAGGCCAGAGGGGCACAGTGACTTGCTGAGGTCACCCAGATGGCTGAGCGAGAACCTGGTCTCTGGACGCCCCTAGGCCCAGCAGGCACCTCCCGGCAGGAGTCCCCAGGGTCCCTTGCACCCTTGCTGCCTGGCCTGGCTGCTGTGATAATCTCACAGCGTCCGGTGCCAGGCTTCTCCTTTGGAAGAGTCTTTTGCTGGACATTCATTGAGYGTCTGCTGTTTGCCTGAGCCTGTGCTCACCCTTATGGGAGGTTCCAGCAGGAGTGGGATCCCCGCTGGGCCAGGATGCCCCAAGGGCTGGAGGGGAAGGGACCTCGGGCCTCCAAGTTCCTCCCACGCCCTCTGGACCGGGCACCATGAGCACAGTCCCACAGGGCACGTCTTCCAGGGTTGGAACTCAGCCTGCTGTTGATGCTGTTCCCAGACCGAACAAGGCAAACTTCCAGCCCCCGAGAAACTGTCACCTTTTGCCACATGTGAACATCCACGGAGGAATGCTAGAAGGCAGCAAAGGCTCGGAGTGGACTCTCCCCTGGAGCTTCCAGAAGGAGCAGCCTGGTGACCCTCAAGGCAAACTCTGCACGGTCCACTTTGAATTCTGACCCCTGGAACTTCAAYGCTAACTGAGTGCGGCTTTAAGCCCCTAATTTTGTGGAATTCTGTGCAGCAGCCGCAGGAAGCTGAGCCAGCTGCTGAGGGAGGGCAGCAGCRTATCCCCTGTGGCTGCCATGGCCCCCCAGCCACGGGCGGGAAAGCCCTCATCCCCTGCTCCCTGGTACTCACGGGTGGCTACACGGTTGTGTGTCTAGGGCACCGTCACTGCCTCCCGGGGACACAGCAGAGCCCGAGCCCTGAGCCTGGCTCAGCACAGGCAGCACCTGGACTGTCCTCTCTGAGGGGTCAGTAGCCCTGTCAGGAGACCAGTAGGCAGGCCAGAGCCAAATGAGGCAAGTGACCTCGGCTCAGGCTTGTGGCCCTGTGCTGGGCTCTGGCCTGCAGGCTCGGGTGCCTTTCCTATTCAATCCCCCCCCTCCCCCGCCCCGTGACCCCTGAGGTAGGCACGGTTCATCTCCCCATTCAGCTGGTGCTGCTGGAGTCCCCTGCCAATGTCCCCTGGAGGTCCTTGGGAGCTGTTTAGACAGTGTGGGCTGCTAAACATTGAGATGAGGAGAGACCACAGCAGGGGTGCAGATCTTTACCACACGCACATCAGATAGAGCACTGATCTCCAGGATGGATAAAGAACTCAAAGACTCAACACACACACACACACACAAACCCCAAATAACCCCATCAATAAATGGGCCAAGGAACTGAACAGACACTTCACAGAAGAAGAAATACATGCGATCAACAAATATATGAGAAAATGTTCAACATCTTTAGTAATTAGAACAATGCAAATCAAAACGACCCTGAGATTCCATCTCACCCCCATCAGAATGGCAATTATCAAGAATTCAGGCAACAATAAGTGCTGGCAAGGGTGTGGGGGAAAAGGCACACTCATAAGTTGCTGGTGGGAGTGCAGATTAGTGCAGCCACTTTGGAAAGCAGTATGGAGATTCCTCAGAAATCTGGGAACGGAACCACCATTTGACCCAGCTATCCCTCTCCTCCGTCTATACCCAAAGGACTTAAAAACAGCAGACTACAGGGACACAGCCACATCCATGTTCCTAGCAGCACCATTCCCAATAGCTAAACTGTGGAGCCAACCTAGGTGCCGTCACTGGATGAATGGATAAAGGAGCTGTGGACATACACACGATGAATATGACTCAGCATTAAAAGAGAACTAAACTGTGGCGGTGTGGCTGCTGCAGCACTGGTCRTGGGCGGGGGCCAGACGGTGGGCAGTCGGGAGTCTGAGACCAGGTCTCAGCAGACTCAGTCCCCTGAACAGGGAGMGCCTTCCTTCCTGGCTGCAGACAGCTGCCTTCCCACTGYGTCCTCGCAGGCCAGAGGGAGAGAGCTGGGTGGTGGTGGTCAGGAGGAGTCCTTGTCTTTTTCTCTTATAAGGCACGAATTTCATCACGGGGCCACCCTCATGACCTCACCTGACCCTAACTACCTCCCAAGGCCCCCACCTCCAAATCCCATCCCGCTGGGGGTCACAGCTTCCGAGCAGGACTTTGAGGGTGCAGACTTCAGTCTGTAAGAGGGACGGAGAGCCTTGGAAATGCAGTCTGTCCCCCGCCCCTCACCCCTGCCCTCCGCCTCTCCTCTGTGCTCCCTTGCCCTCTGGGTTTCATTCCACACCCAGAGTGTCTGAAAGACCTGAAGCAACCCGGCTTTGGCCCCTCACCCCTTGGCCCCTTCCCCTTGAGCACTATGGTGCTGGGGCCCCTTGGCCGGGGCTCCAGGACCTCTCCAGACCCACCCCTGCCAGGCCGGGGCTTATTCCCTTGAGTGAGAAATGCCTGCGCCTCAGGTCGCTGTGGATTTCCGCGGGGCCTGTGRGCACAGTGAGGAGTTTTGGACTCACGCTTGCCTTCCTTCCCCTGGGCCTGCAGGGAACTGTGTCCCCTTCCCACCAGTCTTCAGGTGAAGGCCTGGGATCTGCCTCTGGAACGGGAGTCTACTCACAAAGGGGCAGGAAGTGCACACAGTGGGGTGCCCAGGCACAGCAGGGGTGCTGCTGCAGGTAAGGGGCAGCCACCTCTCCTGGCTCTCTGGTTCCCAGCCCTGCCGCTCAGGGCGGCTGCTTGTGCTCCTGCAAGGCCTGGGGCCTGACATCCAGCAGGTGCTCAGACCATGTTGGATGAAGGTAATTGAGCCCTGCTTGTATTTGCCAATGTTTAGTCCTGGAGGAGGAGCCGGATGCCCCTGGGTTGCTGTCCTTGGCTGTAGGACAAGCCAGGACCAGGCAGGGGGTGACAGTGGGCATGGGCTCACCGTGTGGAAGGACGGCCTRCTAGGAGCAGGGAGTCCTCCATCTCTGGAGGAGAACAAGGGGATCTCGAGAACCAGYTGTGGGAGGGTTGTGCACCTGGGGGGAACCGGCAGGAAAAGGGGGTCTTCTGGGCAAACCCAGGTCCCAGAGTGTGAGGCTCCATGGATGGAGGGGAGACGATGGTGTCCGCGGGTGGGAGGGGATGGAACTTTAGATTTTCACTGGTTGACCTTGGAAAGAGGACAAATGACCCAAGCAACCTGGAGTCTCTGGGCTCATATCAAAAAGACATTGGTTTGTGGAAAGCTGCATGGCCAGAGCTCATTCCTGTGCCTCTCCAGTCATTTGATAAAAGTTCATTYGAGGACTCCCCAGGGCTCGCGCCCCAGCTCTCTCCAACTTGAAAGTGAGAAGCCTTCCCTGGCTCACACCTCATTCATATTCCTAGCCATATTCCAATCACCAGCTCCAAAGAACTTAAAAGGAAGAAAATTTGCATTTCCCAACTGGAGAGAAACCCCCTGGGCAGCTCGGTCCACCCCAACACCGGGCTGGGAGAGGAAGCTGGCCAGTGGTCAGATCTGGCATCAGCTACAGCCARGAGCAGGGTGAGAAGTCTGATGGCTGTCGTGCACCTACTGTGCGCCAGGCTCAGGGTTCAGTGTCCCACAGACCCTCGCAACTCCACAGCCCTCGCTGGTGAGCACTGCTCCATCCACTGCATTCAGGGAAGTTAGCAAATGCACCCAGATCACCCAGGTAGAAGCCGGGGTGAGACCCTGACCTACAGCTGACTGATCTCTCTTTCCACACACCTCAAAAGATAGATGAAAAGGAACTGCAGAATAGAGGAGCTGCAGAATCAAGTTCAGTTCATCTCCATGAACCTGAGCTTCTGAGGTCTTGCCCTGTGCCAGGAGATGGGAGCAAAGATCTGCTGCTGTCAGGGAAGGAGAGGCCGGTCCAGGACAGCCCCTGCCCTTGAGGTGCACCGTGCTGGATGCAGGGATGGCTGCCAGGTCAGGAACTTCACTGCCATTGAATGGATGGGGAAACTGAGGCACAGAGGGATGGAGTCCCACAGGAGTGCTATCGTTTCCACCCCTGCACTTCTATGCATCCACAGGGGTGGTACCTGCCTGGCTCAGGGGCTGGCACTGCTGGGAGGAGGTCACAGAAGCCAATCCTCTGTACCACTCATCCTCCGTGTCAGAGTTTAGGTCCCACCATCCACAGGCTTTGGTGTCAGATGCATTGGGGCTCAAGGTATGGCCCCACTGCTTACAGACTGAGTGGCATTGGACTGCTGACGCCAGCCTCCTGAGCCTCTGTTTTCTCATCTGTAAATCTCTTAGCACTGGACAATGCAGTGACAGGGGAGCCTAGAGAAGATACCTGTAGCCACAGGTCCTTAGTACGTGACAAGGCCCTGTCCTTCCCCCTCCCAGGAAGTGTTTTGAGTGGCTTAATCGATCTGTTCATGTCTTCAATGCACATTCRTTGAGCAGCTATTATATGCCAAAAGAGAGCTTCTCTGGGTCCTAATCTCAGCAATTAGTGCATGAGATTTGACATGATAGAAAGGTCCTCCTTTGTAGAGTTCATGGTCAATTTCAYTGTCCAACTAAACCACTTTAAAGTGGAGCCCTCCTAAGCACGAAGAGCCTATGCCTTTTAGCACTTTGTAAATACTTCAGTGTCTGGTTCCTTCTCCCTCTGCTCACACCAAAACCTCACAGCCCTCCTGGCGTAACCCTCCTGCCACTGCAAGAAGACACAAAATGGGAGTGACTGTCTCTCCATCCATCCRTCCATCCACCATGCTTTGCTTTGGTTTGCGAAGCCCCTACCTGGAGGAAGGCTTCTCAGGTGCAGAGGTAGAAACTWCCAGACAAGAGATCCCAAGCAATTGTCTGAAAGACCTCCCCAGTGACCAGGGCTGCTGGCCGGAGC